AACCGGCACCCAAATGGGATCCTGGTGCCTGCACAGAGATTTATTAATTTCTATTTTGGAAAGACAGATTTTACAGAGAGAAAGATCTTCGAAGCATTGGCTTACTCCCAGTGGGCTGCAGCAGCTGGAGCTGAGCCAATCCGAAGCCAGGAACCAACAGCTTCCTCTGGTTTCCCATGCAGTTGCAGGACCTCAAGGCCTGAGGCCCTCCTCCAGTGGTTTCACAGGCAACAAGCAGGAAGCTGGATAGGAAGTGGAGCAACTGGGATACAAACTGGCTCTCATGGGATCCCGGTGCTTGTACGGGAAGGATTAGGCATTTGAACCATTGTGCTGGACCCTCAACCACTTCTTCTAATGTTTTTTTCTTTATTCTGTCAGAAACTCAGAAGATACGAATGTCAGGGAGAGGGGGTCCTTCTGGGCTAGCACCTGCCTGCTGGCATGCCAGTGCTCCCTGTTCCAGGCCACAGCACAGAGGGGAAGGGGGCATTGAGAAGCAGCTTTGTCAGACACATCATGAGCTTTGATCTCAAAGAGCAGAAGCCATGGGCATATGATCTGGCCTTAGTGTGCGTGTTTTGTGATTGGACCACCTTCGTTGTTGACCCTATGCAAAGAGGCCGACAGCTTTCCAGAATAATGATGATGATATTGGGGACAGTCATTGGCGCTGATTGCAAATTCTCTGGCTTGTGAGAGGGATCCTTTAAATGAGATGGAGATTTTTGAAATCAGAGCAGGTAAATCCTATGTCGCTAATTATCAGGAAGTAACTGCAGCTGTAATCTACAGCCTTTGGCAACAAAGAGGGACTCGGGAAGGAAGGTAGACAAGAGACATGTCTTTCTCTTCCCACTTCTACCCTCCCAGGTGACTATCACTGTGATCTTTTTAAATACTTGTGATATCCTTTTTGAATACACTTAAAATTTAAAAAAAAAAAAGCAAAACAGGGCCCAGCACAGTGGCCTAGTGGCTAAAGTTCTCACCCAGCGTGTGGCTTGGTCCCATGTGGATGCCAGTTCATGTCCTGACTGCAGATGTGTTGCATCATGGGTGTCTCGAGCGTCAGCCTGCCGCCGTGCTGCGATGCCCATCCCTTGTGATCATCAATCTGCAGAGTTACTGTTTTCTTAGTAATTTATGCACTGCTTTTGGCCCATCACAGTGAGTTTTTTTTTTTCAGTTTTAAAATTCCCTTGTTTCTTTGTAACATGTTTTTGAAGAGACTATATTCAAGAATGTTCACTCTTCTTATAGAGTAGTACTAATGGGTTCTTTGAAATGATTTTCTCACAATTTCAACATTTTCCATCTTGGGGTAGGCTTCTTTTGGCTTATGTTGTCCTTTGTGGGGTCCTTGAGAAGGATCTTCCTGTGCTGATTCACTACAAATGGCTGCAGCAGGCAGAGCTGAGCCAGTCTGAAGCCAGGAGCCTGGAGGCCTCTTCTGATCTCTTGCGTGAATGCAGAGGCCTGAGGACTTGAGCCATCTCCCCCTTGCTTTTGCATTTGCATTAATAGGGAACTAGATTGGAAGTGGAGCAGCTGGGACTCAAACCAGTACCCGTATGGGGTGCTGACAACAAAGGCAGAAGCCCAGCTTCCCATGCCACAGCACCATCTCCTCCCACCACTCATGTTTTTATTTTTACTTGATTTTCTCCAAATGAAATTGTATTTCTGAATTTGAAGATGTCATTCATTATTACTTGGATTGGATGGTTTCTAGCAGTATGATGATAGTTGCGTTTTGTCACTTATGTACTTTTAAGACTGTATTTCCATTGAACTTCATGGTGTTTTCTTTTTTCATTTGTTTGTTTAATTAGGTTCTCCAAAGGGTGTGCAAATGGTGTTTGCTGTCCCTTCATTTTGTTATTGTTTTTTGTTGTTGTTGTTGTATAGATTTTTAAGATTTAGTCAGCATTACATAGAGAGGGAAAGACAGACTCTCATTAGTTCCCCAGCTGACTGCAGCCATGGTCTCGGCTGAAGCCAGGAACTTTATCCAAATCTTTCACATGGGTGACAGCAGCTCACACAGTTGGGACAGCCTCTACCGCTTTTCCAGGCTATTAACAGGGAGCTATGTTGGACGAGAAGCAATTGGGTGCTCAAACCTGCACCCATATGGGACTCTAGCATGGCAGATGTTTGCTTAGTCCGCCATGCCATATATTTGAGAGGCAGAGCATCAGAGGGAGAGGTGTGGGACCTTCCACCTACTAGTTCACTCCCTGGATGACCACACCAGCTAGGGATGGGCCAAGCTGACATTAGGAATTCAGAATTCCAACTAGATCTTCCACATGGGTAGCGGGGCCCAAGCACTTGGTCTGTCACCTGCTGTTGTCCAGGCTCATTAGCAGGAAGCTGGATAAAGGCAGAGCAGCTAGGACTGGAATCTGGTGCACTGTGCCACAGTGCTGACTCCTGCTGCTTTGCATATCTGTTCTTATTCATGGTTACAGTACGACTGCATCCTTGCTCTATGAAAGTCTATCAGTACAGGCTGTTTGGTTTTTCTTCTGCATTGAGAGAGTATGGAATATTGTGAATGTTGCGTTGTTGACGTTGTTGATTGCTGGATTGTGTTATCTTTCTTTGTAGAGTGGTGGGCAGTTAGGTTGTGGATCACCTTTATCCTTTTGAGATGAGTGGAAGTTTTTTGTGCTTGTTTGTAACTTTACTAGGATGTTTCAGCAGTGCTAATTTACACAGGTGTGTGACCTTTCAAAGTTCTCCACAGAAATCCTAGCCAAAAAGTTCTGCTTTTCCATCTTGAAAATTGTTCAGCATAAAAAATGCCTTTTTTTTTTTTTTGCTTGTTTGGCTAGCCTTTTTTAGCATTAACTTATGTGTGGGCCTAGTACTAAGCATGGCCCAAAGATGACCCAGGCAGATATCCAGAGCTTGTTCCCTATGATGCTGCCTTCCCAGCAGAATTCAGCTCTCCAGCTGCCTCTGGACACTCAGCGCCTCTGAATTCTGATCGTTCATTTGACACAAAGAGCTGTTATCTCCCACTTCAGTCCTTAAATGCCTGTGACACCTTGGACCCAGCCAGGCTAAATGCAGGACCCAGGAGCTCATTTTGGGTCTCCCATGTAGGTCACTTGCTGTTTCTTCCATTGCACATAAGAAAGTTGAATTGGGAGCAGAGCTGACTTGGATTAGCTCAGGCAGCTCCTTAACTTCACCAAAAACTAGCTCCTCAGCTGGCTTCCGTGTCTGATTGAGCAGTTGTATTCTCCTGAAGCTGCCGTCAGGAAAGTGCCTCCAGTTAGAAAGTTGATTATAATTGTAGGAATAGTTTGCAGCAATCCCAGTCCTGCACTCCGAGTGGCTTGAGAACATTCTTTTCATTTAATTTGTCTAATTTTGTGATTGTTTATTATCAATGGCCAGAAGCTGCACTATCAGTTAATAGTTGGTGCTCTTAGTTTTTCTCCTGTTTATGTCTTAATATGTCTCTGTGCCCGGCTCTGGCTGCTGCTCCTGCCTGCTCCTGGACCCCGAGAGGCAGCGAGGAAGGCTCCCTTGAGCTCCTGCTTTGGCTCTGCCTCTTTCGCCAACTGCAGACACTCGGAGTCAGCAGATAGGAACTCTCTCAAATAATTTTTAAGTCCTATTTGTGCATAATGGTATTATGTAAACTCCCAAATAATACAAGATAAAACCGATCCCTTTACATTATTTAATTTCACTAGTTAAGTGTATTTTTATAATTTTATTGTATTAGAATAGCTAGACATGTGTCAGTTCCTATTTTGAGATTTACCACAGATATTTTTTGCTGTTGTTTTCTTGTCTTTTTGTATGTATGGAACTGTCATTTTTTTTCCATGTGTTGACATACTGATTTATGTTTATAATATATAGAATCTATTTATACTTTCTTGGTATAAAACTCAGAGGACCCAGGGTGGTAGCCTAGTGGCTTAAGTCCTCGCTTTGCATGCGCCAGGATCCCATATGGGTGCTAGTTCTAATCCTGGCAGCCCCACTTCCCATCCAGCTCCCTGCTTGTGGCCTGGGAAAGCAGTCAAGGATGACCCAAAGCCTTGGGGCCCTGCACCCGCGTGGGAGACCCAGAAGAGGCTCAAGGCTCCTGGGTCCTGGCTTTGGATCAGGGCAGCTCTGACCATTGTGGCCATTTGGGAAGTGAATCAACGGATTGAAGATCTTCTATGTCTCTTCTCCTTTGTGTATATCTGACTTTGCAATAAAAATAAATCTTAAACCTTATTCATACTTTTTTTAATAGAAACTTTAACAAATATTTCATTTGTATGAAAGGTAGAAATTGGAGAGAAACTGAGAGCTCCCCTCCACCGGCTCACTCTGCAAATGCATGCAGTGGCTCCAGGCTGGGCCAGAATGTGGGACTGAGACACAGTCCAGGTCTCTCCCATGGCAGAGCTGCAGTGCTCTGAGCCTCCTGGGATCCACACTGTGAGGGAGCTGAGTCCAACCCGGGCTTCAGTGTGGAGGGGAGTGCCTCAGACTGCTGCACTAAACCACCACTCCTTCCATTATTCTTTTAAATAAACTATAACAGTTTATATTCCAGTATTATGTTTTGTATTTTTATAGATTCTTGATTACTTTTGAATATTTCAAAATTCAAAATCGAAGCCCTCATTTAAAATCCTTGAATATATAGGCGTGGAAAGTTCTTTAAAAGGAAACAATGTTCAGAGTGGGTGATACACATGCTTATTATGGTGCTTTGTTACTTTTAACACTTGTATTTTTTTAGAATCCATTTTGTTTCAGAGTGATAGGGGAATCATTTTGTGGTATTCATCTACTGAAAAACTTTTTTGTTAAGGTGAAGGTCAATTTCTTCTGTGTTCTCAATAGAATTATAAAGTATTGGTAAGACCTGCATTTTGTACGATTTAAATTTTTCAGTCAAAACATTGAAACATTCGTGTCAATGTGGAACTCTCAGTTCTCAGGAACTTAGTCCCATGTTCTCCTTTCCACAGGTTCAGTTTAACTTGCAGTTTACCAAGCCACATACATCACTAGATGTTCCGTCAGCAGCCACTACTAGCGTGCCTTCCTCATCTGATAAAGAAAAGTAAGTACTTACTGACAGAAAACTAATGTTTGCAATTTTTGAAGATCATCATAAAGACTTTTTTTGTTTGAAACTTAGTGACCCTATTTATCTGACGTACTTCCATGTTGCTTGTTAAGCAGATCAAGTTCTTTAGCTCTAAGAAAAGATTTCTGATATATTCTTTCAAATTGTGCAATGCATAGAAAGTGAAGTCCTGGCCCCTGGCCGGGTTGGTAACTCAGCTCTCCAACCTTCATTCATTGAATCTTCTGAAGTTGCCACCGGGATTAAGAACTGAAATTGTTCATGTTTGTGAGCTTCATTAAAAAAAAACTGAGATTCTCAATTATCTGTGTTGTATTGTAGTTCCTAATGTATGAGAGGCATCTAAATAGAACTGTGTGGTTTTCATTTACAAATATTTATCACAAGCCAAGAACAATTTTGGCATTTTCTAATTAATTTGTTTGAAAGGAGAGACGTCCCATCTGCTGATCCACTCCCCAGCTGACTGCAGTAGCTCGGTTTGGCCCAGGCTGAAGCCAGGAGCTTGAGTTGCTTCTCCCATAAGGGTGGCAGGAACCAGTCACTTGAGCCATCACCACTCCCTCCTGAGCTAGTAGTCTACATTTAAAGGAAGCTGGTGTTAGGAGCCAGAGCCAAGGAACAAACCCAGACATGCCAGTGTGGGCTACAGGCATCCTAACCAGGGTCTTCTGCACCAGATGTACACTCTGCAGAACTAGCGAAAAATATGAGTCACATTTGAGATAGAAAATTAAACGTAATTGTCCACAAAATTAAGACTATTGAGGGGCTGATGTTGTGGTACAGGATAGAGCTGCTAGCAACACTAGCATCTCAATGGTTTGAGTCCAGACTGCTCTGCTTCCAATCCTAATGTGCCTGGGAAGGCAGCAGAAGATGGCAAGTACTGGGCCTGCCACCATGTGGGAATCCTAGAGGGAGCCTTGGCCTCATCCTGGCCTGTCCAGCTATTTTGGACACTGGGGAGTAATTAGTATAAGATCTCTTTACTGTCTCTCCTTCTGTCATTCTGCCTTTCAAATAAATATGAAATGATGAGTCTTTAAAAACATTAGGATTGCTCAGAGACTTTCCAATTTTTTGTTTGTTTAGAACAGGTTCTTTTGTCAGCTAGCAAAAAGTGGCAGTGGGTTTAAAAAGTTAAAAATATTAGTTCATGTTTTTTCTGAATATTAGAAAAAGCCAATCTTTTCATTTTAAAGATCACATTGTACAAGAGCTTTAACTTCTCATTGTAAGCATAGGCAAGCTGTTGAACTGAACAGATTGAAAATGGGACAAAGGGAGAAAACACAGAAATGTTTTTTTTCCAAAATTTCACTGTATTCAGTTGACCAAAATTCATCCATTACTATGTTATATGTGATAATACTTGATAATGACCACATTCAAGCACTAATGTTTTGAAGAACTTTTGGTTAAAGAATAAGGATGAGACACAGGATGAGACAAAATATTATATTCTCAAGGTCTCTTTTGTGCAATTCAAAACATCACAGTACTCAGAATTTTCATTTCTCTCAAACTCCTTATCCTGACTTTAGTTTTATTTCTAGAAATAACACCTTGGCTTCACAGACAAATTATTGTTTGCTTGAAAATCCAGTAATTGGCATCTGAATAAAGTTAAGCTATAAATATAACTTGCCTCATTTTTGGTATAGTTTGAGTATCCTTTACTCTAAATATCTGTTATGAAGTATTTTTCATTTTGAATTTTTCTGGTATTAGAGTATTTAACGTGTACAAAATGTTTTGGGGAAGGAACCCAAATCCAACAAAAATTTGTGTCTTTTACACACAGCTTCATTTTATACAATATCTTTTAATGTACCCGTGTTTCAATGAACTGTCCTGAGATGTGGTGTAGAATTTTCTACTTGTAATGTCATTGAGGTGTTGGAATGTTTCTGCTTTCTGGATCAGGATGCCCAACCCGTATGTATGTGTTAAGATAAACCATTAATATTGACTAGTAAAGAGTAAGTAATTACTGTTTTTGTTTTAAGTGGTGAAAATCTGGGGCTGGAATCCAAATACTTGAAGAAAAGGGAAGACAGCATTCCTTTACGTGGACTCAGCCAGAATCTGTTCAGCAATTCAGGTGAGCGGACATTTCTGAACCGCGCTGTCAGCCGCGCTGTGATTCAGTGTGATCATTTTTCCTTGTCCTCCTCTGCAGACATTCAGAAAGATGGCGCTCTGGGAACACTGCAGACCTCTGCCAAGCCCACAGTCCTCCCTTCTGTATCTTCAGCTTATTTCCCTGGGCAGATACCCAACAGTTAATTTGAGTACCATCATTGCCTTATTTTATAAACTCAGGTGGTTTAGAAATGTTATAAATTGTCAACAAGCACATTTCAGATTTCACTTGAGTTGCTATTATTTATATTGCTTAGATTCTTTATTAAATCTGCCATTTAAGGCAGGTAGTTCATAGTAACAAAATTATTCCTAGGGTTGGTCATCATTCTTAAGTAAATGATTACTTCTGGTTTATGAACATACTGGTTTGTATAACAGTAACATGAATTCTATTAAACTAACCCTTAGAAATTGATTTGTAAGGAAAGTTGATCCTTACAAAAGGACAGTTTAGACATTGAAGGCATACAAAGAACAAAATGGTATGAAGCCAAAGGCTGCTGATGTTTTAACATTTTCATTGGTAAAATAAGCTTAAAATGTTCTACCTAAAAATTATGAGGGAACACAATTGTCTAATATGTTATTGATGACATTTATATTAAATGGAGAAGTCCCAAAGTTACCTTAAAATACTGAAATGAATTAAGCCTTCATAAACAGTATTTTCCTTTAAACGTTTAAATTAGCTATTGACTGAATCTATTAAGATGTGAATTTAAGCTGATTATAAAAATAATTGGAACTGCATAATTAACATAACCAGACTGAGGTTAAAGTTTATTCATCTAGTTTTCCCCTTTATTAGCTGTGCAGTTAATCTATCAGAATTGCTTAAAAAGTGATATTGTATAAAATTTCTACTCAGTGTATCATGAATTTTCAGTTTTATAACATCAAAGCTTGAGTTCATGTTAATGTTTACTTAAATAGGCAAAACCAATAAGGTTGGAAATTAGATTTCTTACATCCCCTATAATACAGTTTTAACTAAGAATTATTCCCATGGAAAAAATTATGACTTTAATATTCATCAGATTCAAATAGCCCTATTTTATATTGTTACCAACCATTTAATACATTCTCTCTTCCAAAAATCAGTTTATAAAGCGCTAATGTTCAGCTGATAATTTGAATTTATTTTCAACTGTTTTATTACACAGAAGAGGAAAAAGCTATGTCAAGGTATCGATGGCATACCATCTTAATGAAGCCCCAGTGAATCCTTCTGAAACTGTTGGCAAGGTTCAAGCTGTCTGAAATTTGAAATTTCAATACCCGATCATAAGCAGTTTACTGTATTACTAACAATTAGTTACAATACCTTCAAAGCACTTAGTATTTTGAAAAGGTTTTGGAAATACTGGATTCTGCTTTGCTGTAAATACTATTCAATATATTTAACATACTTGACAGTGTTTTAATGGGACACATAATGTACAGGTAGTTTTAAAAATATATATATATATATACATACACACAATTTTCCATGTAAACACATGGAAAACTGACATTATAGAATAGTCATTCTATCAACTTGCTACATTGTTCATATTCAATGAATATATACCGACTTCAGAGTGTGCTAATTTTTTGCTCTACCTCTTAAAAAAACTTATTGGAAATGATTTTGCAATGTAAAATTGTATATGTATTAATCAGAATACTGCACTTAATGTTATTTCTGTAAAAACTGAGCTTTGTTAATAAAATATGAATATTTTGAGACAATGGCATGTACATTACACACAATGATGGACCCGTACGACCCACATTTAGAAAACCAAGCCCTTCATCCTGTGTTGTCTGTTGTCCCTGTCTTCCTGTGAGAGCATTTGTAACTGAGGAAAAGAATTGGATTCAAGGAGAAGGGACAAAGCTTTACTATAAAAGCGACTGTGGTAATAAGCCAAAGCAGGACCTTACATGGATTCACAGATCAAGACTTATAAAAAAAATCATTAAAATATTTAATTTTATTAACAGTATTTACATTTAAGACCTTATTTAACCATAGTGAATGTTCCAAGTTTAAAAAGCATTAAGCAATAACCACACACAAGATGAAAACAGTGTAAACTATACAATACTTTATGTACATTTTTTACAAAGTAACACTTCTTTAAATAATATAACTGGACACAAAAATATACACTTTAGAGAAATTCACATCAGTAATTGTATAAAGCTCTCCTCTAAGGTCCTGAAAATTTAGGACAAACATTAGCTCTGTAAATAAAGTGTTACTGTGACAGTCCTGAAAGGCCACTATATATATTTATCTACATATAGATATCACATTAACATTTTCAAGGCTACCAGCTTTACTATAATTTTTAGGTTATGTATTCAAGTGTTGAGGTTTTTATGATTATGCAAACATTAAAAGAATAGTGGTATAAGAAGTAGCCGGGGAACAAATTCGAGCCAATATTTAGACTGATAGGCTCTTAACACCCCAATTTAAATTCTAAATGGCTGATATTCTCTCTCTTCAAAAACAGTAGTGAATAATGTTTAAAATAAAATTACTGCAACAAGCTTGAAACATGATTCAGATTTAGTACAATTTTTTTCTTAAGAGTTGTTTTAAAATGCAAACAATTCATTTACCATTTATTTTAGTGCATCTGCATTAAGGCTTTGAATTATTTGACCCAAGATTTTACTTGTTAAAATCTGACTCCAGATTTTACGATGTTAAAAATACCAGGTCCACACCCCTACTACCTACTCATCTTACTGAGAGTCAGCGTAAATAGTTAAAGCTCAACACCTTAAGGAAATGGTAGCAGAGACATATGCTAATATCTAAGAAGTTACATATATATAGTTTTTAATTAAAGAATGTATAATAAAACAAATAGCTTAGTGGCAAGAAATTGGTGCTAATAAACAAAAGGTTTCTTTTCAAAAGAAATTGTAACATCTTTGGAAAACCGTCCACTCTTTCTTTAGTTCCCACGGAGTTCATGCAGATACATTTCTTAAGACAATCTTAAAATACCGTGTGGATGGAAATGGAATGTACATCCAGAACTACAGGTGAAAACTAAGACCTGGGTGCTGATAGAAAATCTTCCTGATTTGGGGCCTCACACGTTTGTGTCCTGGAGTAAAGGTTCTTTGGCCTCTCCCGGTGCTTGCGTACTGTGAGGATGGCTGTGGCTGCCACAGTGCTTTCTCCAGCTGCTGGACCTTAAGCTTAAATTGGTATGTTCTGGAATAAACAAGGCAACAAGCAGAGCCAGCAGCACCGAACAGGCTCCGAAAAGGAAAGGGGGGCCAGGGATGATGGAATTCTGAAGGAGAAAAATGTAATTAGGATTTCAGCAGAAGTACTTATCGACAGTAGAAATGATTATATTTTGGCAACACGGATTACTATTAATTGTAAGCCTGTGACTCTTCCTTACAGCCATATTAGGAAAGCATTCTCTCTTAAGAGGAAAAGGTCAACATTTATATTCCCAATGCAAATTTCTGAAAGTAACAGATGCTCTCTGAGCTTCACACAATTTGTTCTAATAGAAAACTCTTCATATGTAGATCTCTAAAGTAAATCAAGTAGCCTGCGATGTCAACTGCAAGGTAAAATCAACTGACATTTTGCTTCTAGAAGGTAATTAATTTGCACATGACCCAAAGTGAGAACACAGATAAATGCGATTAACATGAAAAGGCAGGCACCTTGGTTTTGGTTTTATTCCCAAATGACACTCACAGCAAAACCTGTACTGCTAGTCTTCACAGCCCACAAAAAAAAAAAGAAAAGAAAAAAACCCACAAAACTTGAGCTGGCTGAAACATTAGTACGGATGTCTAAGCCAGAAAGCCAACAGGCTGTTTATAATAATCACTGTTATTGGCATTAATTTGAGTTGTAAGAAGGGCATAACAGCAAGCAAGTCAACACACATGACTGACTAGAGCAGAAAGGCCTAACCCAGGGACCTGTGCGCTACGCACATCTTAAACGGAAGGCAGATAACCTGGCCGTTACATACACAGCAGCTGCATCTTTTTTTTTTTTTCTCAAGGGGAAAATGGTGTACATGTGTTTTATTCAACCTAAAGTTATAAAAATCTCACTTTTAAAGCTTCTGTGACCAAAAAACAGCCTCTTTGAATCTAATCAAATAAACTAAAAGTTTATCATGTGAGTGAATAACTTACCTGCTCAAAGTGGTGCTGGGGGCTTGTGTTTGTTCCCAAGTCTGTTCCTGTTATTGGCAGTTCTTTCAGTTCCACATGGAATATGTAGAAAATAAATCCATAGAGGGCTGGTCCCAGACCGTTGCACAGTCCTCGAATTCCTGTTATCATTCCTTGAACAACACCTAAAGTTGTTTAAAGAAAGTATTGCTTAAAACACTACTTAATGGACCTGTGACTGTTGTTAAGGGACCTAATTGTTGCTACAATATAGGGGGAAACAGTGGACGGAGGGGTGGGGGCAGGGCAGAAGGGGACATGCATGAACCTTAAGTATTGTATCATGAAGATAATTCTTTTAAAGTTACTTTTTACCAGCCTAAAAATAGAACCAATATGAAATTACCATAAAACTAAGGCTTTTAACAGATGACTAGCAGTGTATGTTACAATAGCATTAAAAACTATCTAGCCATCTTAAGCCAGACACATCCACCTGTAGATGTAACAGAAAACAAATGGGGGAAGGCATCTGATTTCCCTAAATTATAGTCTGCAAAACATCCCTGGCCACTCACAAGCACAGTAGTTAAGCAGCTACTATAGATCTTTTCCATTCAAATAGACTTTATGGAATTGGTTGGATTTTTGTTTTGGTTTTCTGAAATTTGAAATACAAATTGCTTGGTCAAATTGCTTTTATCAACCAAGCGACCACTGCCACTCTTGCAGCACGATATTGCCATTATTACTAGATAAAAGGCCCTGTTCCTTGAATTATCCCTTTCTGTTAGTATTCCAAAAAGTAAATCTTTCTACCACAAAAGCATGATTGCAAAGCAATATTTGCTATGTTCTATGTTTTTAGGTAACTAAAAGCAAAGATTTTTAAAAAGGCCATGAACATATTCCAAGGCATCTAAGACACACCAAGCAAAGTGTTCCATGATCTTTATCACAAAATTTCCTACCAAAAATATAGTTGAGCCATAAAGTCAGAATGAGAGATGAGGAACTGAATATAAT